ATTTCCCGCCAAGTGCTGTCTGATGAGTCAGGGTGAGTCCATTTGTAAATATATTGCAACTGTATAGCTAAAGAATAATGAAGAAAATTTGGTGCCGCTAGTCCTCCTTGTGCTTTTGATTTTTGCAGGGTGGAGAGTTTGATTCTAGGTGTTTTATTTTTCCAGTAAAATGATGTGATAATTGAGTCCAGAGATTTAAACCATGATTGAGTGGGCGGTGTTGGTATCATGGAAAAAAGGTAATTGATTTTGGGAAGAATAGACATTTTTATTACAGCAATACGGCCAATGAGAGATAGTGGAAGACTATTCCAACGGTTGAGATTGTCTGTTATTGTTTTGATGATTGGAGTGAAATTTAAGTGTAACAACTCTGATGGCCTGGATGAGATGTTGATACCAAGATATGTTATATGAGCCGTGCTGATAGGGAAAGGAGGGGTATGGGCTGTCACATCCCAACCACCCCCCACTGGGAGAATAACTGATTTTTGAAAGTTGATGCTGTAATCTGAGATGTTGGAGTATGCCTTTATGATTCCTATTGTTTCTGTAAGTGAGGTGTATGGTTGCTGCAGGTAGAGTAGTATATCATCAGCATATAGACTTATTTTGTGATGGGTTGTTGGTGTCTGTATTCCTGTGACATGTGAATTCTGGCGGATTGCTGCGGCAAGAGGTTCTATGAATATAGTGAAGAGGGAGGGAGAGAGTGGACATCCCTGCCTAGTTCCTCTGTGTAATGTGAATTGTTGTGATATTAGTCTATTGGTTAGTACAGAAGCGGTGGGTGAGGTGTGAAAGATGTGAATCCAATTTATAAATGATTCCCCAAAGCCAAATTTTTCTAGTGTGGCTGTTAAAAATGACCAGTTAACTCTATCAAAGGCCTTTTCAGCATCAAGAGAAACTATTATTGTTGGCTGTTGTTGTAATGTTGTGTATTCCATTAAGTTGAAGAGTCTGCGGGTGTTGTTTGACGAATGTCTTCCTTTTATGAAGCCGGTTTGATCTGGATGTATTATGGAAGGAATTACTTTTTCTAGTCTGTGGGATAGTGATTTTGTAATGATTTTGAGGTCAACGTTGATTAGTGATATTGGCCGGTAACTGGATGGAGATGTTGGGTCTTTATTGGGTTTGAGAAGAAGTGAAATTATGGCAGAGTTCATGTGAATAGGTAATCTTGAATCTTCTTTTATTTCAGTTATAAGTTTTTGGAATAGTGGACTGAGAATAGACCAGAAATTTTTTATAAAATTCAGCAGGGAAGCCATCAGGTCCGGGTGCTTTATTTATTTGGCATTAATTTGAGTGCATCATGAAGTTCTTTATCAGTTATTGGTAGTTCAAGCATTGTCTTTTGGTCATCCGTAATTTTTGGTAATTTGATGTTATTGAGAAATGTATTTATGTCTGTTTGGGAAGGGGTATTTTCAGAAGTGTATAATTTTTCATAAAAGTCCTTGAATATATTGTTGATTTCTATTGGTGACTGTGTTTGCTTCCCTGCTGAATTTTTCATGCTGACAATGGCTGTTTTCTCCTGATTTTGTTTAAGTTGGTTCGCCAGATATTTACTTGATTTATTGCTATGCTGGAATGATTCTTGACGGAGTCTTTGGATTATGAATTGTGTTTTTTTGTTTATAATTTCATTTATTTGGAGTCTGCATTTACGCAATTCTTTTCCTGTTTTTTCCGTAGGATTACTTGCATGAATGATTTCTAGTTGTTTGATTTGTTTTTCCAATTCTAACTGTTGCTGTTGTTCTTTCTTCTTTTTGTATGTCGAGTATGAAATAATTATACCTCTTAACACTGCTTTTCCTGTTTCCCATAGAATAGAAGGCGATGAGGAATCATTTATTTCCAGGAAAGATGTCCTCTCTCCTAATAAGGCTATCAAACTCCTGGTCATTTAAAAGGGAAGTGTTGAAGCGCCATCTTGTTGATGTATGTATTCTGTCAAGGTGAGAATGATTCCAGGTAAATGTTACAGGGGCATGATCACTTATAATAATGGGGTGGATCGTTGATTTAGAGATGTTTGATAAAATGGAATTACTAAGGAGAAAGAAGTCAATTCGTGAATATGATTTGTGAACAGGGGAGTAAAATGAATATTCTCTTGAAGTGGGGTTCTGGATCCGCCAACCATCGCCAAGGCCAAGCTCATTCATGTATTGTTTTATTATTTCGGATGAGAGTCGAGTAGTGGATGTGGTGCTGCTTTTATCAATTGATGGATTAATTACCGTATTAAAATCTCCACCCATTATCACAGGGCAGTGTGAATTCTTGGTAATTAATGAAAATAAGTTATGAAAGAATGAAGGAGAGTCAGAATTGGGACCATAAATATTTGCGATTGTAATTGGACTGTTGTTAATTGATATGTTAATGATGATAAATCTTCCCTCTGGATCAGCTTCAGTGGAGTTGTGGGTAAAAGTTATTTTTTTATTGATGAGAATGGATACCCCTCTTTGTTTGGTGTTGTAGTTGGCAGAGAACATGTGATTAAACTGTGATGTGAGTAGTTTATTGTTCTCAGATGGGGCCAGGTGTGTTTCTTGTTGAAGGCATATGTCTGGTTGTAAATGAGTTAGATCAGTGTCTCCCAAAGTGGGGTCCGCGGCCCCCTGGTGGGCCGCGAGGGTACTGCAGGGGGGCCGCGGGAGGTTATAAAAAAAATAAAAAAATAATATAATTATTTAATGTTAAATTTATAATGTTTTGTTTGTAATATTAAAATATTTGTGTTCATTATTTGACTTGAATAATCCACTGTAATCATTTTTGTATTACAATGTTTGTAGCAGAGGCTATTTCCCCAAAATAAAATAACCAGAAGAGCCTATTCTTAATGTTGTCTTCTTGGTTATTATTTTGGGGGGCCACGCAGACCCGTCAGATTTTTAAGGGGGCCTCGGTGTTACTGAGTTTGGGAATGGCTGAGTTAGATGATTAAGTATTTTGTGTCTTTTTATTTGTGAGCCAACTCCTCTAATATTCCATGTTAAAAAGTTAAGCGACAACATAGCCAAGCTGGAAACAGTGACAGTGAAGATGAATATATTTTTCTGTGTGTGTGTGTGTGTGTGTGTCTGAGTGTGTGTGCGTGTGTGTGTGTGTGTGTATGCCCATAAGTTGCATAAAATAAACACATATAACATATAAACATACAAAAACAAAACAAAACTATATACATTGTCTGATTTAAGTTGGGACGGCGGGTAGCATGCCTTCCCCTATGTCGCACTTACTTATTTATATATAAATATACATATTTTCCCTTTTTCCTTTAGATAATAATAATGATATTATCATTACCACCACCATCCCTACCAATAATATAATAACAATAATAGCGGTAATAATAACAACAATAAAAGTATAAACAGGTAATACGGATTGAGAATGACTTAATAATTAAATACATTCTGAAAGAGTGATTGTATAAAAAAATAAGAAGAAAAACTAAAAACATAATGAGAAGATGAATAAGCACACTAGTAAGTAGTTTAAGCTTGAAGGTTCCAAACACTAAAACTATACTGGGGAAAAAAAAAAGAGGGGAACATTTTCAACATTTCAATAAGTTTGAGAGTTCGGGTTATTCTGATGACGTCATTATTGTGCGACCGTGTTTACCTCAGTTTCCTCGTCGGCATGTCTTTGGTTTCCTCCAGTGAGCCAATAAGTTAATTTGGCGTTGCGGTAGAGTTCACCATCAATGTAAAGTTTGTCAATGGATAGTTTGGCCCTCCTTCCTGCGGTCCTGGCCTCTGTAAACACAGGCTGAAGTAGTCTTCGTCTTCGTAAAATCTCCGGGGGAAACTGATCGCTCAGAGAGAGCCCTGTCCCTTTGAGCTCCCTCGCGTTCCCCATGACGATTGCCTTGTGTCTCGGATCCAGAAGTTTGGTCACGATGGGACGACTCCGGGAAGCTCCCTCACGTCGCTGGCCCAAGCGATGGGAACGAGCTAGTTGGATTTGCTCGACCATGCTGTCTTCAATTTTGAGATTTGTTTTGAGAAAGGATCGAACCAGCTGTTCTGTTGTTTGGTAAGTCTCCTTTGGTTGTTCAGGTAGACCGTGAATGATAAAGTTGTCCCGCATACTTCTGCATTGTAATCGAGTATATTGTTTTGTGCAATGACTGAGTTATGTTGTAGATTTACTGTCACGGTTTTAAATTGATTTATTTCCGCGCGTAGCGTCGCGTTTTTCTTCCTTGAGGACGTCCACCAAAGCAACGTGATACTCCAGTGATTGCTTCAGATCTTCCACATCTTCTTTCAGTTTTGAAGTACATCCAATTTTTTTAGTTGTTGCTGCATTATCTCCATAGATTCTCGCATTTTGCGGATATCGTTGGAGATGTCAAAGTCTGTGTCGCTGGAGCCCAGCTCACTCCTTCCTCTCTTGCTGTCAGGTTTTTGCGTCATCTCGTAAAAAGTGTCAATGTATGACTCTAAGTCATAAATGGTGTCGTTACCGGGAGGTTCCAGTTTAGAAATAGCTCGTTGTTTTGGGGAAGTTTCTGCTTAGAGTTCGGTAAAGTTAGCTTGATATTCACAGATTCGGACTTCCGCGGTGAATATCTTACGAAAGCTACGTTGTTAAACGAAAGTAATTGTGCCAAAATGATCACCTCTACATGGGCTAACTACTACAACATCGATTTTTCTAATCCAATGCGCTGTTTTAATGCAGAGAAATCCATTGAATCCAATGCGCCGCAAGTGCCGAGAAAAGCACTTAGGGAGCGTCAACAAATGCCAATACCAGCTGTGTAAACGAACAATAGTTTTTATTTTAAGCCAAGTACACGCACTAAACTCTCAAATACTATAAATAGCTACCATATCTAACTACTACAACTTTGTTTTCAGCAGAAATATCTTTTTTATATTTTTTATGATTAAATATGAATATGATTTTTGAATAACTTTTTTTCAAAAAGGGGCGTGGTCACCAAATTCTCAGGTATGATCAATAACTGCCATATCTAACTACTACAACTTTTGTTTTCAGCAGAAATATCTTTTTTATGTTTTTTATGATTAAATATGAATATGATTTTTGAATAACTTTTTTTCAAAAAGGGGCGTGGTCACCAAATTCTCAGGTATGATCAATAACTGCCATATCTAACTACTACAACTTTTGTTTTCAGCAGAAATATCTTTTTTATATTTTTTAAAACATTAGAGTGTCTAATTCATACTCCTGTTAACCCTCGTAAAGGACTCTTCTCCATTTATAAAAAGCCATTGAAGATTCAATCATAAAAAATATGAAAAAAGGTATTTCTGCTAAAAACAAAGGTTGTAGTAGTTAGATATGGCAGTTATTGATCATACCTGAAGAATTTGGTGACCACGCCCCTTTTTGAAAAAAAGTTATTCAAAAATCATATTCATATTTAATCATAAAAAACACTTAAAAAAGATATTTCTTGCTGAAAAACAAAGGTTGTAGTAGTTAGATATTGCAGTTATTGATCATACCTGAGAATTTGGTGACCACGCATCCCCTTTTTGATAAAAAAAAGTTATTCAAATATCATATTCATATTTATCAAAAAAAACGATAAAAAGAGAAAAATATACAAAAAAACAAAGGTTGTAGTAGTTAGATATGGCAGTTATTGATCATACCCTAGAGAATTTGGTGACCACGCCCCTTTTTGAAAAAAAGTTATTCAAAAATCATATTCATATTTTAATCATAAAAAACATAAAAAAGATATTTCTGCTGAAAACAAAAGTTGTAGTAGTTAGATATGGCAGTTATTGATCATTTTACCTGAGAATTTGGTGACCACGCCCCCTTTTTGAAAAAAAGTTATTCAAAAAATCATATTCATATTTAATCATAAAAAAATATAAAAAAGATATTTCTGCTGAAAACAAAAGTTGTAGTAGTTAGATATGGTAGCTATTTATAGTATTTGAGAGTTTAGTGCGTGTACTTGGCATTAAATAAAAACTATTGTTCGTTTTACACAGCTGGTATTGGCATTTGTTGACGCTACCCTAAGTGCTTTTCCTCGGCACTTGCGGCGCCATTGGATTTCATGGATTTCGTCTCTGCATTTTAAAACAGCGCATTGGATTTAGAAAAATCGATGTTGTAGTAGTGTAGCCCATGTAGAGGTGATCATTTTGGCTACAATTAACGTTTCGTTTAACAATCGTAGCTTTCGTAAGATATTCACCGCGGAAGTCCGAATCTGGTGAATATCAAGCTGACTTTACAGTAACTTCTGCTTAGTGTCATCTCACAGCACTCGACCCTGCCGCCAATCTTCTTAACGGGTATATTATTTTTTACATTTTACACATAACAAGACAAACAGTGCCTTGTGAGGCTTCCAACAGTCATTTTTGGACTTCCGTTATGACCTGTCGCGAACATTGCTGCATTAATTCTAGGCGTGACTTTTCCTCAAATAAGCCAGGGACGTGCAGTCAGGGGAGGCCGGGGGAGGCAGAGCCCTCAAAACGCCTTTTGGGGGGGCCCCAAATTATTGGAAACATAATAATTTAATTTAGTTTAAATATTTAATTTATATCCCCTGTCCTATGCTTTTAATGTATATTCGGCACGGTTCCCATCAGTTTTGATCATTTCTGAAGTCAAAATCGCCGAAATCCCGTTATTCCCTATTCAAAGAGACGAGGTGAGGCAGCGCTCCTGCGTGCCTCACCCCAGACCGCTCCCTCACAGTGTGTGTGTGTGTGTCTGAGTGCACTCAGCTCGTGCAGTTGATATATCACCGTTTGTTTCAAATATCCTGCTTTAAAAACATTTTTTTAAACTCCTCTTAGTGTTTAGTAGTGTATTGCACGTATGTGTGTACAATTTATATTTAGTTTAAGTCTTTTGATCGTAGATGAACACACAAGGAAAAAGCTTGGCGTGAGGCAGGCGGTATCTGTGCCTCACCGCTAGGGGTGATAGTGAGCATAAAGTTCATACCCAGAGTTGCTAACAAACAATCAGCCCAAAATGCTATTTCTTTTGCTGGAAAATGGATGATTTGAATGAAGATTTTTTTTCTCAATTGGACTTTCAAACAAAGAAAGAATTAATATAGACTGGGTCCCCAACCACCACTGTGGACTTAACGAGGTTTCGGTCCGGCTGCGGGGGAGGAAGTTTGTTAAATCTGTGTTTTTGTTGAACATTGAAAAACCTTAGAAAAAGCTTTCACTGCACACTTGTTCACTGTGATGCCCTCTATTATTGTGCAAAGTCACATTCACTTTTACTGTGGAAATTCCAAGAAAATAGGGGTCAAAGTGTGCAATAATGATCCAAAATGCACTTTTTAACCTGGATTTTAAAAAAAAGTAAAAAACCTTAGAAAAAGCTTTCACTGCACACTTGTTCACTGTGAAGCCCTCTTATTATTGTGCAAAGTCACATTCACTTTTACTGTGGAAATTCCTAGAAAATAGGGGTCAAAGTGTGCAATAATGATCCAAAATGCACTTTTTAACCTGGATTTTAAAAAAAAGTAAAAAACCTTAGAAAAAGCTTTCACTGCACACTTGTTCACTGTGATGCCCTCTATTATTGTGCAAAGTCACATTCACTTTTACTGTGGAAATTCCTAGAAAATAGGGGTCAAAGTGTGCAATAATGATCCAAAATGCACTTTTTAACCTGGATTTTTAAAAAAAGTAAAAAACCTTAGAAAAAGCTTTACCGCACACTTGTTCACTGTGATGCCCTCTATTATTGTGCAAAGTCACATTCACTTTTACTGTGGAAATTCCTAGAAAATAGGGATCAAAGTGTGCAATAATGATCCAAAATGCACTTTTTAACCTGGATTTTAAAAAAAAGTAAAAAACCTTAGAAAAAGCTTTCACTGCACACTTGTTCACTGTGATGCCCTCTTTTATTGTGCAAAGTCACATTCACTTTTACTGTGGAAATTCCAAGAAAATAGGGGTCAAAGTGTGCAAAAATGATCCAAAATGCACTTTTTAACCTGGATTTAAAAAAAAAGTAAAAAACCTTAGAAAAAGCTTTCACTGCACACTTGTTCACTGTGATGCCCTCTATTATTGTGCAAAGTCACATTCACTTTTACTGTGGAAATTCCAAGAAAATAGGGGTCAAAGTGTGCAAAAATGATCCAAAATGCACTTTTTAACCTGGATTTAAAAAAAAAGTAAAAAACCTTAGAAAAAGCTTTCACTGCACACTTGTTCACTGTGAAGCCCTTTATTATTGTGCAAAGTCACATTCACTTTTACTGTGGAAATTCCTAGAAAATAGGGGTCAAAGTGTGCAATAATGATCCAAAATGCACTTTTTAACCTGGATTTTTAAAAAAAGTAAAAAACCTTAGAAAAAGCTTTTACCGCACACTTGTTCACTGTGATGCCCTCTATTATTGTGCAAAGTCACATTCACTTTTACTGTGGAAATTCCTAGAAAATAGGGGTCAAAGTGTGCAATAATGATCCAAAATGCACTTTTTAACCTGGATTAAAAAAAAAAGTAAAAAGCCTTAGAAAAAGCTTTCACTGCACACTTGTTCACTGTGATGCCCTCTTTTATTGTGCAAAGTCACATTCACTTTTACTGTGGAAATTCCAAGAAAATAGGGGTCAAAGTGTGCAAAAATGATCCAAAATGCACTTTTTAACCTGGATTTTAAAAAAAAGTAAAAAACCTTAGAAAAAGCTTTTACTGCACACTTGTTCACTGTGATGCCCTCTATTATTGTGCAAAGTCACATTCACTTTTACTGTGGAAATTCCAAGAAAATAGGGGTCAAAGTGTGCAAAAATGATCCAAAATGCACTTTTTAACCTGGATTTAAAAAAAAGTAAAAAACCTTAGAAAAAGCTTTCACTGCACACTTGTTCACTGTGAAGCCCTTTATTATTGTGCAAAGTCACATTCACTTTTACTGTGGAAATTCCTAGAAAATAGGGGTCAAAGTCTGCAATAATGATCCAAAATGCACTTTTTAACCTGGATTTTAAAAAAAGTAAAAAACCTTAGAAAAAGCTTTCACTGCACACTTGTTCACTGTG